TGCACTATATTTCCTTCACATTCTGTTAAAAACCTTGGTGTTTTCTTTGATGAATCTCTTTGTTTTAATAACCATATAAGTCACATTATTAAAACTACTAACTTTCATCTACGCAATATTGCTAATATCAGAAAATATATTTCAAAACACACAGCTGCCGTATTAATAAATGCATTGGTTACACCCCATCTGGATTATTGCAACTCCCTTTTCTACTCGTTACCAAAAACTGCGATAAATCGCCTTCAACGTCTTCAAAATTCAGCTGCACGTATTCTGACTCTTACTTCTAGACGCTCACATATATCACCGGTAATTTATCATTTATATTGGCTCCGTATTGAATCTCGTATCAAATACAAAATCCTGCTATTAACGTTCAAAGCACTATTTTACAAACAGCCCACTTACCTTGTTGAACTCATTCATGCGTATGCCCCACCTACTTGTCTCCGTTCTTCTGATAAAAATCTTTTAGTTGTTAACACCAAAACCTTTGGTTCTAGATCATATTCATTTTCCGCAGCATCCATTTGGAACTCATTGCCCAAACATATTATCCAATCACCGTCAGTTGCTATTTTTAAGACAAAACTTAAGACTCAGTTGTTGTTTTTAAGGCTAAACTTAAGACGCACCTTTTTACCATCTAAATGTTAAGCGCCTTTGATTTTTACTTCGGTATAGTTGAAATTGGCGCTATATAAATTATTATTATTATTATTATTATTAAAGCTTTCAATCCATCAATTCCTGACCCCTTTTATACAATCAGGCTGCTAACCTCAGTCGACTGATCATCATATGTAAAATAAGTATGGTCTAAAATCGTCTAGGAATTTGTTTCCATTATTCCAATGGAGATTTTGATTCATAGCTACTAGTGGCTATAGCAACAATAATAAAAGTAGGCCTAAGCCTATGAATGCTCCCTGGCATAATCAAGGACCGGTTGGTTGAAAAGAACACTCCGCCGAAACCCAAATACAGGTCTCCTCCAATTAAAGAATATTTTTGGGACCGGGGTTTCCATGGTCTTTAAAAGCTAAATTAGAATACTGTAATAATTGATTTAATCAACAGAGCATGCGTGACTACTAACAACGTTGATCTGTGTCTCCGCTATTACTCCAAATTTTATATATATTTAATCACATTTGTGCCTTAATTATTGGAATCTTATTTGGCCATATTATTGAAGATCATGTCGGATCCACAAGAAATCAGAAAATCGAAGAGGAATGATGGTAAATCAAAGCCTCAAAAAACAACTGACAAATCTCCAAGCGCTAGCCAGGACGACATTCAATCGCTTCACGTCAAGGTGGATAGGATTTTATCCACATTTGAATCGCTTGGGTCTCGCTTGACTAGCCTGGAATGGAAATATGTATCTAAATCTTGAAGTAAAATCGCAAAGACAAGACGTTAATGAGCTAAAGGAATCATTAACTTACACTGAAAAAGAAAATGAGACTACTGCTAGTAGTCTTTGTGACAAAGCCAATCATGATCAGTTTTTAAAGCTTGAAAACACAGTCGAAGATCTTCAAAATAGAAGTAGGCGAAATAACATCATTTTGCATAATATTCCAGCTGGTGCTGAAGACGATTTAACGTGTGAAGAATTTGTATCATCATGTTTAATCAACCATATGCATTTGAAAGGAGCTGGTGACAGGCCTATTAAAATTGAAAGGGCCCATAGGGCTGGACGCAAAGTTGTACCAACTGATTCCACCTCGCTAGGCCTAAAGAAGAAGACGCGCTCGATTTATTGCAAGTTACTACGCTTTGGGGAC